GGGCGGCGTCATGTTGGGCAGCGTCATGTTGGGCGTCACCGCCATAGTCACCCTACTGATGGACGTCGCTGTCAAGCTGGGTGTCACCGTCATAGTCAACGTACTGCTGGGTGTCGCAATCAGGGCGGAAGTCACTGTCACAGTCGCCGTACTGCTTGGTGTCACCGTCACAGTCACCGTGCTGTCTGGCATTGCAATTATGGTCGCCGTATCGCTGGGCTTCACATTCAAGAGTGGTGTCACAGTCATAGTCACAGTACAAGTAGGCGTCACTGACAAGCTAGGCGCTATCGTCAAAGTCATCATACTGCCTGCTGGCACCGTCACGTTGGGCATTGCCTTCATAGCTGCCGTCAAACCGGGCGTTGCTGTCAAACTGGGCGTCACTGTCATAGTCACAGTACTATTGGGCTTCACCGTCATAGTTGCCATACTGTATTTATCCGTTGTTGAAATATTGTTTTCGTTGCCGGCCGTGAAGTGTTGAGGTGATGCGTGGTTTGTATTTATTTCTGTGTTATTTGTCCCCATTGCCTTGTCTGCCGGTGTAGGTATCTGATATTTGCTGCTTTGTGATGGTGAGTCAGGCTGCTGGGAACTACGTTCTTCTGAGACGCGTGGATTGGTTGCGTTTTTGTTGTCTTTGTTGTCGAGTTGGGCCACACCAACGTGGCAAAGACATACGGCCAGCGTCAGCCAAAGTGCAACGAGAAGGGCTTGTCGTTGCATCTGTGTGTTTTGCCGTAGTAGTCTTTGTTGTTTTGTTTTTGTGCGTTATTGTCAGTCAAGGCTGTTATAGGGGGAGGGAGGCGCTGTGGGTGGGTGGGGGTGGGGTGGGTGGGGGCCGCGAGCGCAACACGGCGGAAGGGGGGTGGTGTGCGTTTTTTTTTCTTTGTTCTTTTTGTTTTTGCGGGACGGCGCTTCGGACGATAAGTTTGCAACCGCCAGAGGTAAAATTTAAAAAACACACACTTACACACTTGCCGCTTGCTGCGGATTCTACTGAGAGGGAGAGGAAGAGACGAGGCACGCGTAGTCAGCCGCCTCTGTGTGTGTGTCTCTCTGTATGTGGGTGGCGAAGTGAAAAAAAAAAAGAGAAAGAGAGCAGTGCTTTAGAGTGTTGGTGTTGGGGCGAAAGCTGTGGAGTTAGGCCGCCGCGCCACCTGGCCTCCTGCAGCAATAGAGCAGTGGCCGGCGTGACGCACGCAATCCGCGAGGACGGCGCGGGAGAAAGCGAACGCTGCGCTTTCGTATTGCGCCGCCCCGCGCACGTGAGGTCGTGTGGCGAAGAGGGAGATAACACAATAATAAAAAAAAGCATGCCTTACACACACACACACGCACACGCACACGCACACGCACACGCACAGCAGCAGATGTACACATCACTGAAAGTCACATCAACCATCGAGGCACCGGCACATTTTTGTTCCTCCAAATTTTCCACCTCTGCTTAAGGCGGTTCGTGGGCTCCGACAAGAGACCGCGAGGCCGAAACGCCTGCATCTCACGTTGGCCCATGTTTTTTTTGCTTCATTTTTTTTTATTTTTTTATTTTTTTTATGCCTCTTCCTCTTTTACCGCTCCTCAAGTAGGCCGCATGGCGTACTCCTGAACACCGTCAAAATAATACTACTGCTAATTGCTGCGGGTTTGGTCTGCATGGATGCAAGTGTAGTGCTCAACAAGACTAGAGCAAAGAAAGTGCTAGTCGGAGGACGGCGTCGGGCACGGCAGCGCGTCAATGGTCTCCCAGTACCGCCCAAAGATAGCAAAGTTGCGCGTGTTTGGGAGATTCGCCTTGTGCTGCCGCCACGCCCGCATCAGTGGATGATTCGTAACAACCGCCGTGAGGAAGACACTGTACGCCTCAATCGCACGTGAGTTAGTCAGCATGACGGAGAAGTATACAAGCTCCTCCACGAACCAGGCGAGGTCCACGAGCAGGGAGTGCAGTGCCGGCCAGAAAGACACAAGCGCCCCCGTCGTGGTGTAGCTCGTTTTGCTCGCGTTGTTCGCATTGCTACTGCTGCTGCTGCTGCCTCTCACGTGAGAGACAGCGGCGTTGTCGATACCCTGTTGGGCCGTGTAGTACGCAAATTCGGGCAGAAACACCTCGGCGGCCTCCAACAGCACTCGCCAAAAGGCGTGAGCAAAGTGAAAGAGCCTCCCCTCGCCGATTTGCCTATGGCCGACTTTGATGGACCTAGCGATCGGCTTCGCGGCGGCCGCCGCGATGGAGAGAGGCGTCACCTCCCGCGGGGCGTTGGGTGGTATGTAACACAACTCCACCCGCACCCGCTCGCTGGGGTTTCGGACGTTGAGCAGCAGGCCGTGATCGCACAGCGCGGGGAGCATCGCCGTAATGTCGCCAGGCGCCCGCCACAACAGCATGGCGGCCACACGGGCGACGTTCAGCCGCACACGCACCGTCGCTGAGCCACCGCTGGGAATGACGAGCAGGTTAGTGAAGTTCTCCTCACCCGCCTCCGGCTGCTGCTGCTGCGGCGGCGGCGGCCCACCCATCTCATTTTTGTCCCTGTTCTCCTCCTCCCTGCCCCGGTCTTGGTCTCGATCCTCGCTTGGAAGCACGCCGAGGATGGGGGACGTCGTGCGGAACGTGACGCGTATCTCGCGGGAGCGCAGGTTCTTCACGGGGATGGTCGCGACGTAGTCCTCTGCAGCTGAAAACAAGAGCTGCCGCGGCGCCAGCATTGACCGCCGGTGAACTTCAAAGCGTGCTTTTACCACAAACCGTGCGTCACGGGCCTGCTTACACTTCAGAACCACCTCCGCTTCACCAGCGACGGCCACCCCGCTGGGAAGCAAGAGCCGGTCGCAGATGAGGAGGAATAACACCTTCACGCGGGACTTGGGATCCACGACGAAGCGCCGCTGCCCCCGCATCTCGGCAACGTTGTGAAAGTGAGACACCAGCAAGCGCATCTCACACTCCGGACAAGCCCCAGCGCCATCTCGTGGCTTGCCCTCTGCTTCCTCCGCCCATTCCGCGGCCCACGACGTGGTTCGTCCGCTGTCGCTTCTCGGTGAGCTGCTGCGGTTGTCGCTGGCGTTGGCGGCAGTGGTCGCAGTACTACTAGCAGCATCCGAGGCAGAGTCGGCATCGGCATTCGCATCAGTAGCAGCAGCAGCAGCGGCGGTGGTGGCGGTGGCGG